GTGCCACCCCAGAGCACTGCCCTGCCCCGTCCAGTGTCCCATCTCCAGCTGTGTCCATCTTCGATGCTTCAGAGAAAGGAGACCCAAATACATGGAAGCAGTTGATGGAAGGAAGGTGGTTTCCAGCAGCTTATAGGGGAAGCGAGGGATAGAGATGCCTCTGCTCTTCTTGTCATCCCAAAAGTGCACCTCCAGACAATATCTTCAGCAGATAATTAAAAGGAGGGTCTAGAAAAAAAGATGCAATCTAATATTATAAACTCATGTTGAAATTAAAAAAAAAAGATTGAGGTTTATGGGCAGAAATCCCCACAGAGTAACAGTGCCTTTCTTGCAGCTATGGTCTATTCAGGCACCTGCAGTGTGTTTGATGTATAGATGTGCAGCAAGACATGGGCCTTCCTTACACCAAGGTGCTTACAATCAGATGAAGGTCCTTCTATTTTATTTTATTTTATTTTATATTAAGTGTGTGAGAAATTTATTTTGATTGGAACGTGGATCTTGGATCTGAAAGCAAGAATGGCTTTACTACATTTGCCATAGCCCTAGTGCTCATATCCGCCTTACAAGCTTTGAACAGAACAATTCAATCCACTTGAGTCCTTTTTCATCTGTTCTTTGAATTAAGCAAATAACAGCATTGCTCCAGTACTTCCGGGACTGGTGGCAAAGCACTTTGTCAACCTCCTCCAACATATATATATATAGCAATCCTGCTGATGATGTCCTTCAATTGCTTTAACAGTACCGTGCAGTACAAATGAAACTATCTTGCAAAGCAGTGTATTTTTTGTTCTGTAATAGTAGATTTGCGGACTGGGATTCTGTCTCTGCAGGGTGTCCTTTTCGGTATGTTTGATGCACAGGTGGGAATGCTGTAAGGAATAAACCTGTTCAGCAACTGAAAATAATTTTTTTGACCATTTCCGAACAAATTCAAAGAGACTATGATGGTAGTTGGAAATGCCCCCTAATAAAAAGTATGAGCTTAGTCCTGCATTCCCTTATTTGCACTAAGTTACTCATATGAGTAGTTCTAGTGAAGTTTATGGTACTGCTTACATGAGTAAGAACTATTCATGAGAGAAAGGGTTTGTAAAATTGGTCTGTATGTTAGGAGTAAAGGAACCTTGTAGACTTTTAATTGTGTAACAGTTTTGAATTTTTTTCACTACAATTTTTTTATTAGTGTCCAGTTTCCTAAAAATCAAGCAATCTAGGGACTAAAATTCCTTTGGTTTGCATTAGACCTTTGATTTCCAAGGAAAGAAAAATCAGGCCTCTAGTTTACCATTTATTGGCTTAGCACACTCAGTCTGCTTGTTCCTGTGAAATATGCAAACCTAAAGGCAAGTCTTTACTAAAAAAATACACAGGGAAGACAGACCAGTTGGGGGATCCCCAGGCATGGCCGTCCCTAAGGGGGTGCTGGGCCCCGCACATAGGCATCAAGTTTCTACCTGCGGCGGGGGTGTGTATGTGCTCCCCCTGGCTCTGCCCAAACCCTGCCCCCACTTCACCCCTTCCCCCAAGGTGCCACCCCCCACCCCCCTTCCCACCCCCGCCCTGCCCCTTCTTGGCCCAAATCCACCCCCTCCCCTGAGTGTGCTGCACCCTTGCTCTTCTCCCCTCCCCCTCAGCACCTCCAGACGCAGCGAAACAGCTGATCGGCGGTAGGAGGTGGGAGGGAGGGAGGGGGAAGCGCTGATTGTCAGGGCCCGCCAGCGGGCAGGAGACACAGGGGGAGGGGGAGGTTGGTAGGGGGGGCTCCTCCCCGCCTGCCCCCTTGCCTCAGCTCCCCACTTGCCTCATCACGAAGTACAGGGCCACCAAAGCGCAGGGCCCGGGGCGGTCGCCCTGATTTGCTGTACCCTAGGGACGGTTCTGTCCCCAGGGAAGTGGATAACTTTGGGGAAAGGCTGAGGGAGGTTAATCCATAAATATAACAAAATTTTGGGTGTAATGGGAGAATGAGGGAGAGTGTTGTGACTTGATGAATTTGGCTTGGGAGATTATTCCATGCATGGGGGCAGCATATGAAGAGGAGAGGAACAGTGTGTTTTACTTAGATGGCAATCATTTTTTACTGTATATTCTAAGTATTATTTTTGCTCTGGTTACATCTCACCATTTTAGACTGCTTTTCTGTTTTCTAATCAGGTGTCTAAACAGCTGTATAGCATGGGCTGCTATGAGATCTCTCTGGGGGACACAATTGGTGTGGGGACCCCCGGCAGCATGAAAAGAATGTTGGAAGCTGTTATGAAGGAAATCCCAGTGAGTGCTCTTGCTGTTCACTGCCATGACACGTATGGCCAGGCTTTAGCCAATATCCTCACAGCCTTACAGGTAATTCAGACTCTCTCTTTACAGATATTTTCAGTAATGATTGCACTTTAATTCATTTGCTAAACGTCTATGAAGTGCCAGTTACTTTCTGCATTTTCTATAGTTATTACAATTTTTGCACATGCTAAGGGTGAACCCTGATTGTGTCATTTCATAAACCAGTAGAGACACAAGGTGGGTGAGGTAATAACTTTTATTAGACCAACTTCTGTTGGTGAGAGAGACAAGCTTTTGAGCCACAGAGAGCTCTTCTTCAGGTCTGGGAAAGGTCCTCTGAGCATCACAGCTAAATGCAAGGTGGAACAGATTGTTTAGCATAAGTTGTTAGCACATATTAAAATCTAAATGACCATTCAAGGTAGAGTGGCCTGTTACCACCTGTGCAGTCATAGGACAAAAAGAAGGGGGGTTACTGGGTTACAGATTGTTGTAATAAGCTAAATCCAGTGTTTCTGTTCAGTCTATACTTTTTTAGTGTCTAGCGTAATTCCTACTGGGAGGCTGTTCCAGACACTGGATTTATAGTTTATTACAACAATGATCCCTTAGAATATGTGCTAACTACTTATGTTAAACAACCTGTTCCACCTTGCATTTAGCTGTGATGCTTGGAGGACCTTTCCCAGACCTGAAGAAGAGCTCAGTGTGCATCAAAAGTTTCTCTCTCACCAACAGAAGTTGGTCCAGTAAAAGATATCACTTTACCCACCTTGTCTCGCTAATATCCTGGGACTGACACGGTTACAACTACACTACATATTTCATAAGTCATTATCAGTTATATATTCTTATTCACTTAATGTCTTCAATGCCACACAAAAAAAACACACCAAGACACAGTCATGATGATACTATGTGGCTTTGGTTTTAATGGAAAACAAGAATATAAATTAAATATTAATGAACTCTTGGGTACCACTTTGTTGGAAGCATGTTGTATGTCCATAGGTTACCAAAGTGACTGACTGTCTAGCACCATCTAATTTAGAAAGTGCCTAAATATCAAATAGAATGATGCACAATTACTCCTTAGGTGAATGGATTTTGAGTTTTTACACCAGCCATAACAACTTATTTTGAACTGCTCAGATGGCATTAACCTAAGGCTTATTGGTTATCTATTCCATACAGGTAGTAATTATTTTGGATTATTCTTCTACTGTTAACATGGCTTTGGTGTTCTCTTTCTATTATCTATTTATGTACATCGAGATGGTAAAACAAATTAAATCAAACACCTTTCTAACATGTTTAGTTCCCTTTAAAATGTGATTTTAGTTGGCAAAAAGACTTCAGTTTTTTAAAAATTGTACCCTTTCTATACTAATAATTTTGGATAACAGATATATTGACTTTATAGTTAAGACTTAAATAAACCTTCTTCGTCTTTCAAATCCCTCCTTAAAATTCATTGCTCTTATGATGCCTACAAAACACTTAACAATGACTAGGCAGCTGATGTATTAAAACTGCTACTTAATGACCAAATTTGTTTCACTGTTACCTGGTCCTCCCTACCCACCTTTGTTTGTTTTCTCTTTTGGTTGTCTTTTCTCATATGCTAAAATAGTAATTTCTTTGCAGTAGGGATTGCCTTTTTATGATGTGTGTAGTGTGCCCAGCACCACAGGTCCTGATCCCTAATTGGGGTTTCTTGGTTATATCATGATACAAATAGTTAAAAAAAAATGAAAAGAGAAAACAGATTGTCTCACTGATCTTGAATCAGCCTGAGTTTGTCTCATCTTCAGTACTAAATGTGTTTGTACCTAATTAGTAGTTGGATAACTTTAGTGATTAAAAACAGGTATAATTTCATTTTGAAAGACACTATATAGTACATATTTTTCCTTTTGTACAAAGGATAGTGCTTTGGGATATTATGTGGGTGGCTGCTGTTTAATTCCAAATCTTGTCATTGAATAAAATAAATGCTGTCACTACCTTGCAGCTGTACAGATATTGACACATTATTTTGTATACACCAGACTGTAGTTGCTGTTTGTAATAGAACCTAATTCTGCAGTTCTGGGTACAGTTTTCTTCCAAATGTATTTATTTATTTTTCATATGCCTATTTGGAAGAGTTTTTGCTTGTGGGAAGCAGGTCAGATCAAACATTTGTCTTTCGGACAAGTGAGTAGTCAAGGCATTTTTTAGGTGAGTTCTAGTTTGGAAAGGCAGTATTAAAGACCAAATGTTGTACACTCATCCCTTCTGCAGAAGTTCACTGCAGATGCCGGGGTAGAGACAGGTCTTACAGTGCTAGGAGATAATGTGTGTGGCTTCTGCTATAGCACTATTTACATGGAAGAATGGTTTCATTGGCTAGTGGCTCCTTCATCCCCACCATCCCATAAATCCCCCACCACAAATGCTCCTTCCATGCTAATTTCCATGTACACCATGGTACCTCAGTTCTGTGGTGTGGCCCACTGTCCAGGTTCTCCATGGATTGTGATTCCCTGTGCCTTCGCTCTTCACTTGCATCAGTTCTGCGGCCTTTCAGACCAGATGTGCCCACAGGGGAGTGGAGACCTGGATCTGGGCCTGTGTGACATATTGGCCTCTTTGTGAAGTACAGTGTGGGTGTAGTATTATGCAATGAAATTAATTAGAAAAAAAAACCCGTTGAGCAGCAAATTCCACTCTTCCTGCGCTACTGCAGACTAAAACCCCAGACTAAGAACTATTGTATTTCCTAAAAAACAATAAATGACAGCAGGAAAGCCACAGATCACTCTACACTAATTTAGTCAGTGCTTGGATGTGATCTCTCTTGGGGTACCTCGTACGTGGGGCAGGAAGAGGTGTTGGTGATTTCAGAAGTAATTTTTTGTACTGATCGCATTGTGTCATGCAAGTTTATACAATTCCAGGACATTTTCTTTTGGTTGGGGTTGATCCAAAATACTATAGGACTGACCGAATGAATGTGCATAAGAAATTAGCGGGCAAGTAGCTTTGCTATTTAAGTAGTGGGTTTTATGTGTGTTATTTTAACAAAAGGGTAGGTAGTGATACATGACAGAAATTAGCCAACTTTTAAAAGGTAAGTATTTTTTTAAGTTGTTGAGCGGAATAATAAAGATGAAAAGCATTGACTAGAACAGGGGTCGGCAACGTTCGGCACGCGGCTCGCCATGGTAAGCACCCTGGTGGGCCGGGCCAGTTTTATTTACCTGCTGACACGGCAGGTTCGGCCGATCGCGGCCCCCACTGGCCGCGATTCACTGCCCCGGGCCAACGGGGGCAGCGAGAAGCCGCGGCCAGCACATCGCTCGCCCGCGCCGCTTCTCGCCGCCCCCATTGGCCCGGGGCAGTGAATCGCGGCAAGGGGGGGCCGGGATGGGCCGAACCTGCCGATTCAGCAGGGAAATAAAACAGGCCCGGCCCACCAGGGCGG